ACGATCAGAGGACCAGTACCAAGTCACATCCTCACGGAGCAGATCGTTCAAAGAGCTGCATCGTGTTGTAATGCTTAATAAATTTCCTATACTAATTCGCAGTCCCTAAGATAGCACGAAATTCTGACACATTGGTTGGAGGCAGCATCTTGACAATCGCCTCAACTTTAACGGCCGTTGGCGCAGTGCCACGAGGCACAATCTTGTGTTCCGGATACTCCACATCAGCAAAAGCAACCCTCATTTTGAAAGGGTGACACTTCATGTTCTTATCTCGAAGTCGACCAAAGACCTGCCCCATATGTTGCTTATGCTCACTCAAAGTCTTTGAGAAGATAATCACATCGCCAATTAAGCAACGTGCGTTATGTCTTTCTCGAAGCAAAGTCTGATCCCTGACTCGTTGAAAGAGTGGCGGCGCATGCTTAAGTCAAAAAGGAACGACTGTCCACTCATGAAGGCCATCAGGACACCGAAAAGCACCCTTACAACAATCTTCCTCAGCAAACCGTACCTAATGATAGCCCATTCTCAAATGAAGAGTGGTAAAAACGGCAGATCGTTCAGAGAGAGCGTCGAAAATGTATTCTGACGTTGGCAAAGGATAGTAATTTGTGGGCATTTTACTGTTGAGAGCTCTATAATCAACACAAGGCCTTTTCAAGGTCCAATTACCATGTTCGTCCTTCTTTGGAAGCATTGTTACAGGAGCAGCGCACTCAAAAGTTGAATCTTTGACAAATCCTACCAGTTGCCTTTCTCCTCTCCATTTGCTCTCGCAAAATCTCTTTTGAGACTGAGACAAACGATGCTGCTGCTTAAAAGTCGGAGTCTCGTTCATAAGCTTGATTCGAAACGTCTCTCCCTCTGTCACACCTAATCCGCTTGTATCAAAAGCAAACACATCTCGGAATTCATCCAAAATTTCAGTCGAGTCAGAAATCTCCTCAGATAAAAGACTTGAATTGGTTGGCCATCTGAACACTTTAACAACGGCCTTGCCCTCTGTCCCCTCACTTCTAACTTGCTTGGGCATTTTTCTATTTAAAGCGGACTGGGCAGCCGTCAAGTCAGACGGATTCGTAATATTGAAATTACTAGCAGCTGAAATCTGAATGTCAATAAAAGGTTCAGCCGAGCTTGAAAAATTCATATATCACTTACAAGCTTTCGTTCAACAGGCACACCACCCCCCCTCCCAGACTGAACTAACATGGGGTTGCCTGCAACTGGGCTTGCAAACTGCTTGCCAAAATCGGCCAACTCCGATGGCAACAAACTCTGGGGCAACAGAAACAAACCTGATGGGACCGGAGCATGCCCCCGAGAAACTAGTGACGCATTCACCCCGATCCGGCCCCTAACCCATCAAGAACTTAAAAGTGCCTTCTGAAAGGCCAAAACAGCACCAAGCAGAAAAGTTCATTGGTTCATGTCCATGGAACCACCCAACAATCTTAAGCGACTAGCTTCGCTTAAAGGGTTATGAAGGTTGTCTGACGTACCTCTTGGAAAACCCATGGCCCGTTCCTTCTCAAGCAAGGTTGGCGGTTCGACCGTACCAGGGGCTCGCACGCAGCTCTATGCAACAATCAAGACGAAAAGCATCAGAATCTTTGAATGTCACAAACGTTGCGAGGAGCGCAAGGTTTGCCAACAATATTTACTGGATGCGGTCCCGGAGCACGTTCATGCTGAGCGGCCTTGCGCCCACCTGCCTGGTACCAAAACGTCCTCCACGGATTGATCTGGAGAACGAAGTAAGAAGCGATCTTCCATCAACGACTCAAGTAAAAGTGGTGGGAATCAAGTTCGTCCAGAATCAGCGAAACCTGTGAGCATGAGAACCAATTGCAACAACGTCAAAGGCAAAACCTTCTCCAAGGATTCCTTTTACCACTTGACCGAATTCAGCTTGAAGCAGAGAATTCGGTTGATCTGATGCATCTACTTTCTCTATTACCCACCCACACGGGCCGTGCTCAGAAGCAAACAGATGTATAAATCGGTTCATGTCAAAGAAGACTGCAAAACGTGCATCTCTAGGTATTGAAGCCCGTCTGGGCGGCCTAGAGAAACCTTGACATGGAAGCCACAAACAAATCAAGTCCACAGGCCCTAAACTGCAATCATGGTCGCGGGTTATCATTCGAATCTCTTGTGGAAGCAAGCAAAAGCAGCGCTCGAATGCATCTAAAGGCAACAAGTTAGAAAATATCTGTGCTACAGAGTTAGGTCGAGCTAAAGCAACACTACGCGCTTGTGAATCAATCTCACAAACGTGAAGCTGCTTGATCCTTACTCCGGACCTGACAAGGGCTTCAGTAGCAAGCAAAGCTCCACACAACTCAACTACAACCAAGCCCGGTGTCGCCTCACTATAGCTCTTGCCTCCCTCCTGTCGGCAACACACAGCTACACGATGAATTATTATGGTAGATGTTGCGATGCTCATCGTGTAGCTGTGTGTTGCCGACAGGAGGGAGGCAAGAGCTATTGTGAGGCGACACCGTGGCCTCTCTGCTGACCAACTGTGTAGTGACAGCACAATATATACTCCTAAGTGCAATGAGCATATAACAAGCTTTTAACGGGTTCAACTTTTACCCCCCCAAGTTGTGACACGAGGCTCTCTTTCAGCAAAAGTTTTCAGCCCACAGCATGGTCAGCTCTGTAGACCTTAGTAGATCAGATTCATATGCTCAAATCACTTGTCCCTGCTGATTTGAACACTTTCAACCTCCGCTTTTTCAAAAGCCCTCAAAATTGCCTATTTGATCCTAGGCCACTTTTCAAAGCAGAAAGCACAGCGCAAAACAGGTCCAGAGCTGAAGATTTCAACATAGGGGTTCCTATTTGAGGTCATACCAGGTTTTTGCACTGCTGATATTGAAAAATAATAACAAACGAGCTCGAAGTGAGCTAAGTTCCATGCGCCCCCCCCAATTTTCCGGTATTTCAAGATATTACCGGCATATGCGCGCGATCAGCGCAAGACATTGGCAGGGCAGAGCCTCATTCAACCTTCCCTTCAGGATAACAACCTACTGGAACCATGTTGATTCTGAAACAAGTTTTTGCACTGATCAAAATTGGCTGTAACCATCAAATTTCAAAAGGGGGCACACCTCGGTGCCATTTTGGGCATTTTGCCACGGGCGATCTTTTGAGATGAAGCCATTCAATCAGAACTAGCAGAGAAAGTCTTTCAACAATATTAGAATAGACATGACTTACACAGCCTGCTCTCCTTGCAATTGTTCTTTCACCTCCCGCGATACGCCACGCGCCTTTCGCCATCAGAGGATGGGCTCGTCAAAGGAAATGGGGTGCTCAATTATGTATTGAGAGGCCTGACCTGATTGAGAGCCTTTTGACTGTTCAAAATCTTCAAAGAAAGTTATGCTCCTTGAAAGTGGCGTTTGGAGTTGTAATGCAGGCCTCCAGTGACTCGTGACTCCAGCAATGATTCGGGTATCACAGGGTACTAGTGCACAGCCTTGTGCACCAGCCTGCACACAATTTTTGTATTGGGTACAAAAAGTGTACCCAAGCGGGCCCAACGGTCGGCCCTCGGCCGAATCCGCGGGAATTGATGCCGGCAAATCATCTGCCTGACGCGATTTATTCGCTAAATCGTGGATAGATTAGTAACGGCAATTCGCGGAATTTACGAATTGGTCATTGTCGGGACTTATTCTCTAGTGGTTTCAGGGTGTGAAACCACCAAGAATATGCATATATTATCCCAGCAAAATGGCCTTGCCCCTAGGGTAATGTCAGCACTTAACCTGAGAATTTGTAGCCCAAGTAGTCACATAAGTGCCCAGGATTGGGACAACAGTCCGTCCAAATCCCCCAGTCAAAAAAAATCACAAACCGTGTGCTTATGAAAATAAAATCGATTCTGTCAGAAAATAGTAACTTACCTCGAAGGATAATTTTGAAATTATCCGCCAGCAGAGTGTGATCCAAAACGCTCGTACTCGTTCTCAGATTCTCAAGTCCGGTACTTGAAATTCTCCGAGGCTTCCGAGCGGTTACGCTAGAATTCAAAATTTCTAGGAATCCACCGAGCTCTTTTTACGTGTCGAATTCCGGGAGGCGGCGAGCGAATGGATATCGAAAGCTTATACTCGGAATGACTTGTGAAATCGATGGAATATGCAGTGGTCGTGGATGCTTGAATATGCGAATGGGAGATGCTCAAATCACTATGGAAGATGTACATAACTTGTACAAGGTAACCTTGGCAGGGCGCCTTGGTTTCGTTGTTGCTTGTATCGCTTTTTGCTTACATGTGAAAAGAGGACGATTCTAACTTCTGGCATCAATTTATAGTCTACCAAAATCTAGGTGTCGATTAGTCTTGAATTGGACTTTCTCTGTCAGACTCGTGTCTCGAACCATGTGTATCACGTGGTAGTGTCGAAAGTCACGGAATTGCTCATGAGGTGCCATGTGGCGCTATGAGATCGTCACGCGTTTGCAGCCTTGACCCTAAAGATTGTGCGCTAGTCGCGATCCGAGTCTTGCTTGCGATTGGTGCGAAAGATCGCAAGATCTTTTGCCGCGTGGCAATTGGCTACTCGTATCCTCTGCCAGCTCTGCAAGATAACACCTAACCTAGGTGACGTCGATATATTATCCTACTGCGTACACCGTCGAAATGATTGCATCGTACGGTGGTCGAAGTTGCGACAGGCTGCGCAAGCCGTCGATTCCGTATCGCATGCTCATCGAGTCGCAACCTTATCATTCATGTCAGCACAATATTCGGTATTGCATCCCGTTCGCTAATACGACCGTCGACGTTTGAAGCATTTGAGTGGAAATCGCGATTATGCGCGCGTGAAATGGGCGCCACTATTCGAAGTGCGCGTCGCGCGTTGTCGCATCCAAAGCGCAGGTTTGGCCGCGGCCGCTCAGCGCGCGCGCCATACTTAGCCTCGTTGTTATCTGGACTCTAGCGAGAAGCGATTACACCGAGCTCACATCACATGACAGCGCGAAGGACAAAGAGGTTTGCCGGAGGTGCAAACGGAGTGGCCTTTACGACGTGGGGCGACGACGCCGGGGATGTGCGCAATGGGGTGTGGATTGTCGACTGGGGCAGCACCCAGCATGTCACGGCCGATCGGAGCCAATTCACGAGCTATAGAGAGCTTGTGCGTGATGAGAAGATCATGGAATTTGTGGTGAGCCTCTGATTGCGGTGGGAATCGGAGAAGTGGAGCTTAAGTGTAAGACGTCGAGCGCTGTGAGTACGGTAACCTTGAGGGAGGTTCGGCACGCTCCGAGGGCACAAGCGGATTTGTTTGCTCTCACGAGGGCGACCGACGCGGGAGCACGAGTGGTGCTGGAGGGGAGAACCGCGCAGATCGAGAGGACAATGTGGTCCGTATGGAGGCGGTCAAGCGTGGAGGACTGTGGGAGAATGAGACCGTGGAGAAGCAAAGGGCATTCCTTGCGAGGGGTCCGGTCAAGGAGAACCGGGAGTGCGCCACGGCAAAGAGGTCGGTAAGAGCGGAAAGCGTGGTGCAAAAGACGGTGAAGGTCGTGGAGGTCGACCTAGACGAAGCGGCGGCGACGAGAATGGGGGCGTCGAAGGAGAGAGGGGAACTTTTGTGGGGGCGGACGAGGGGCCGCGCACAGATTCAAAAATGGTCGAAAAAGGGGCGGAAATTGAAATGGCGCGAAGGGGACGCGCACGGGCCCGCGACGGATTGCGGCCACGTCGCGCGCACAATTTCAAAGAAAGGCCAAAGTGGGCCGATTGTGGAAACGATGCGCGAAATTGCGGAGAAGTCCGAGGAGATTGGAAAGGGCAAGGAGAGCCCAAAGACGGCGGTAGAGAGCAAACCCGCCGGTGTGGAACGGGCAACGGAGAAGCCTATAGTGAGTCCCAAGAGTTGGAAAGATATCTGGCGAGAGTGCGACTGGAGCCCGTCGAGTGGTATCGGGCAAATGTGGGAGCAGCAACGGAAGGCGTGGGAGCCGAAGAGCCGGAGCACGGAGTGGAGAAAACGTCGCCGGAAAAGAGCGACGATGGCGAGAGTGGAGGCATGTGGGTGACGCCCAAGGCAAAGAAGACAGCCCGCAAGAGGAGCATGACGAGTTAGAGGCCTAAAACAATTCGTCTGAGTGGGCGTGTTGGAATTCGGTGATTACAGTCAGCCAAGTTACTATGTGATTAGGGTTCGACCCGTGTAGGGTTTGAATTAGTGAACGCTGACGTGCGTGTACGGCGGTTAGGCGGTTAAACCATTAGGCGGTTTGGAGGTGAGGCGGTTGAGAGCGGCCGTCAGTGTTAGCAGTAGATGCGTATATCGAAGGCTAAGATTGAGTGTGAGTGTGAGCTAGGCTAGTGAGCCTAGTAGTGTGTGACTTAGGCTTGTAAGCCTAGTAGGCTAGTGAGCCTAGTGGAACGGGAGAGACCCGTAAGACTCATAGTGGTGGAAATCACAAATGTGATACATCATCCGAAGAGAAGTTTGTGGAGAGGAAGCCTGTTGAGATTCACCTTGTAGGGGACTAGAATTGTGTGGTTTCACTCGTCATCGGGTCTTATCGTAGTTGCCCGGCACTCATGCTCATCACACGTTGA